GGGGGGCGGGGCGACGGGGGGAGGGGCCGTTGTTATCCCCTACCTCCCATCCCGCCGAGGATGGGAGTGAGCCATTAAGGGCAAGATCTCTCCCTGCCGCAAACAGGAACCTCGTGAGAGCCCTGGGGAGCAACTCTGGGGGCTCTGCCAGCCAACCCCTACTTCTTCAGCATCTACTCTGTCCGAGGCAGTGTTTTGGCGCTCGACTAAACAAAGGAGGTCCCCGCTCTCGGGAAGTTTTCTAGTGTAGGTGTTGGGGATGGGGTGACGCAGGAAATACCAGGTGAATCCACGCAATAATTTCTCAAATTAGGTGCTAGAGAGTGTTGGGAGAAGGGGAAGACTTTCAGAGGCGGCATTTGAACTAGAAACTGAAGGGTGAGAGAAAGGAAGCCCGGTGAAGAGGAAAGGCTCAAGGAAAAGCCAGTGCAGAGATCCCGAAGCAGGAACCAGCTCAGGGTTTCAGCTGGAGCCGCTGGTGAGGGACAGGGAAGGGGGAGGGAGGTGGAAGCCAAGGCCAGTAGCCCGTGTGATGGTGTAGGCCACGATAAGGAATTTGGACTTGTTCTGGTTGCAGAAGAAAACATCAGCAGATCAAAGGTATTTGCGAATCATGGATCCAACGCCCAGTGAGAGAGTATAGCAGGTCCAGATCAGAGCCCTGGGACACTCCTGGATGCGGAGGAGTGACCCATGTGGAGAAGAAAGCTGTGAAGGAGGAAGAAAACCAGGCTAGAGTCGGGTTAGGGAACACTGGGGAGGTAATGTGAGCATGTCACTAGCTGCCGTGAGGCTGAGAATTTGGCAGACTGAGCATGGTCATGGGCTTTAGCAAGATATAGTCACTAATGGCCCTAAGAAGGACTAGTTCAGAGAAGTGATGGGGTTCAGGGCCCAAATGGCAAGGGTTGAAAGGGATGAAGTGAGAAAGTGGAGACAGAAAGTTTAGATAACTCTTGGGAGTTTGCTATAAAAAGGAAGCCAGATATGGGCAGGAGGTAGCCTACGAGACTTCCAAAATGTCTTTTGAGGGTCACGTCAAAGCTCTCCAATGTCTTCCCACCTTGCTAGGAGTAAAAACGAAAGTCCTTACTATGGCCTCTAAAACCTTTGCTGGTCTCTTACTGTTCCTCCTTGACTCACTCTTCCCAGCTACACTGGCCTCCTTGCTCCCATCCAGGAGCCTTAGCATTTGCTGTTCCCTCTGCCTAGATATCTACATAGCTTCTTCCTTCCCTTCCTTTTGTCTCTGTGCAAACAGCCCCATACCAGAAATGCCTTCCCTGACCATAAATAATAAGTTAGTAGGGGCGCCTGGGTGGTTCAGTCGGTTAAGCGTCCGACTTCAGCTCAGGTCATGATCTCGGGATCCTGGGATTGTGCCCCTTCCCCTCAGGTTCTCCACTCAGTGAGAAGCCTGCTTCTCCCTCTCCCTCTGCCCCTCGACCCACTTGTGCTCTCTCTCTCTCAAATAAATAAATAAAATCTTAAAAAAAAAAAGTTAGTACTGCCCCCTTCCTATTCCCCTTACCGTCCTTTGTTTTCCCTACCCATGGAATTTATCTTGACTTTTTTTTTTTTTAAACTTTGTGACACTCTCTACTTGTTTAAGCTCCAAGAGGGGAGTAATTCTTTTTTGGTTTACTGGTTTATCTCCAGCACCTAGAAGAGTGCCTCACATGAATCTCAGCAGCTCAACAAGTATTAAATGAATAAGTGAGGGATTCCTAGGGAATCAGGACCTTACCTAAAAGGACGGTCAGAATAAAACAAATCACTAGTGTGCATAAGCAAAATGGCTCTTTGGGTTAAGGAGGAGTTAAACCTTAATTCCTGGGTTTGTATGCATTCATTTTTGCAGCATCACATAACGTGGCTGTGAAGAGTTTTGCAGTTGAAGACTCGGCTCTGCAAGTTACCAAATGAGCTCTGAACCTCAGAGCTTCCACTTCCGCCTTCTCCTTGTAAAATGGTAGTATAATCGTAGAATCTTGTGAGTATGAAATGAGGTAATGTACATAAATGTGCTGAGACATGGCAGAACTCAATACATTTTAGTCCCTTTCTATTTTCTCCACGATGGCATTTGTCAAGAGGGCAGTAACTCTGTTCCTAGGCAGTCGGGCATCTGCTCCTATTTCAGGTCACATTGGCCATCGTGTTGTCACAGGGCCATTGCAGTCTGGAGGCAGCAACATTGTCTGTCTCTCTTTCTTGCCTATCCCTAGTGCCTAGCACTGGGCCTGGCGCAAGCGCAGTAAATGTTTGCTGAATTAGTGAATCTCGGAAACGTTAAACTGACATCACAACGAGCAAATAGACCAGAAAGGGGGAGACATAGGATCCAGGAAACAAGAAATCAAACCCAAGAAAGAGTTGTTAGGGTAGATCCTAATCCAATATGACTGGTGTCCTTATAAGAAGAGGAGATTAGGACACAAACGAAACAGAGGGAGAACCTTGTGAGGATCCAGAAGACAGCCATCTGCAGTCCAAGGAGCATGGCCTAGAAGAAAGCAAACCTGTCAACACTGTGGTCTTGGACTTCCAGCTTCTGGAACTGCAAGAAAATACATTTCTGTTAGTTAAGCCACTCAGCCTGTGGTACTTTGTTATGGCAGCCCTAGCAAACTAGTATATGAATGTGATAAAAAATAAATAAGTAAATAAATACATGCATGCATCATTTCGTATTAAAAGATTTCATTTTAAGAAATTTAACAAAAGAAAGCTTATTTTGACAGAAACACATACATTAATGCTCTCTAACAATAACTCATATAGTATTGGAGAATAATATTGATTTACTGATTTTTTTTTTCTCCCTAAACAAGCACCCTTTGAGATATTTGCTAATTCTGAATACAAATTTTGGTAACTGTTCAGCAAATCTTAATGAGAAGTTTGGAGAAAGAGAAATAATTTTACTAAAGAGGCACAGCAAGTTAGTGAATTGGCAGATCCATTTCTTTTCTGCTTCCTACGCCTCTGTGTCAAATGCTGACCCTGTGAAATATTCCCTGTATCGGTTAGGGTCCAGTCTAGAAAACAGGAGCCTCACTAGGAATTCTCCCAAAGAGAATTGAACATAAGGCATAAGCCAGGCCAGTATTGGAAAACTCAAAAAAGCAGAAAGGGAACAATGAGGTAACCCACAAAGATGGCAACCTCAAGCCATAGGTATCACCCCTAGGTCTGGGGAGAAAGAAGAGGTTGAGATTATCTAGAAATTCGGAGGAGAGTTGCCAGAAAGTGGAGACTCAGACCTCTGAGCAGGGATATTGCAAGCCTAGTATTGATGGGTCTGAGGGAGCACAGTGAGGCCGTCTGAGACGTGTGACAAAGCCAGAGACTGGAAGCAGCTGCTACAGCCAGTGAGGGGACATTTGGGTGGGGGGGGTCGGGGGACCCCACTGGAAGAAATAGCCAGCATGCAGGATCAAGTCTCTCCTCGGTCCTGCCTTGCAGGGTCCCCCTAACACATCCTGTTGGAAACCTCAGGAAGCCAGCTGGCAAAGCAGAAATGAATTCTAGCCTCACAGAGTCCGGAAGGGTGGTTTTAGAGCTGATATGCGATAATCTAATGACTGGCACAGTCTCGTATCCCACCCTTTGATTTTAGCAAGCTCAAGTACTGGGATGAGAAGACAATATGCAGTTTTAAACTCCATCTGGCACCACGCCTGGCTGAGTTCTGACTAGTGTCATGTTTGAGGCCAGAGGGTACATTTGGAATGAGTTGTGCTAATACATTTCTGAGTCACATAATGTAAGTTTTTGGAATAAAGGCCATAAAATGAAGATGGCTTATTTTGCCAAAGACTTTCATCAAGGACTATATATGTTATATATATTATACACACACACACACTCTCTCTCTCTCTCAACTTTGTTAGATTTCTATTACCAAATAACAAATACTTGCTTATAAACACCTTTGTTTCTGATGCTTCAGGAATACAAACTGAAATCTGAGCATAGACTCAGGAACGATGCTTAGAGTTGTGTTAGTAGGAATTTCAGCTTCAAAAAGAAAGCCATTGGGGCACCTGGGAGGCTCAGTCGGTTAAGTGCCTGCCTTCGGCTCGGGTTGTGATCCCAGAGTTCTGGGATCGAGCCCCGCATCGGGCTCCTTGCTCAGCGGGGAGCCTGCTTCTCCCTCTGCCTGCCGCTCCCCCTGCTTGTGCTCTTTCTCTGATAAATAAATAAATAAAAAT